ATTTACGTAGTAGATGTCTATGGGCTCCAGTAACCACTTAACACCAGGTGGGCTGTGAGCTCGCCCACAAATTTAAACAATAAAAAAAAACGCATGTTTGAACTCTGGGAAAGTATATCTGTAACATCTCACTGCCGAGCACGAGTTCTGTAGTGACTGTAGTTCACCCAGGCGAAACGGCGGGTGGAAAGTTAGTTATGATTATATTGGTACAATTACATCATATTTGCATCGTTTGGCTTAACATAACAGTGTGATTGAAATACTTATAATGTAATATATGTAGTTGGATTAGATATTAATCGAAATATGATTACTGCATGATTTCAAATTGGTCATTCCGATTAAAACATTGGAAGTCCGCGCTCAGCAGACCGCTTGCTGACCGAGTAGCTGTCAACCCAGACACGGTTCACTACTCACCACGTGTAGATATCGCATGTAGCAGATGTACAGTCACCACAAAGTCGAGTCCTTCGTAGAGTCTGTACGGATTTTAAACACGGACCACTTCAGAGTACTGCAAGCTAGTCCCGCGATCCCGTAAGGGGACGCGACGACCCGACGTACTCCTAGTAAGGTTTTTTTTATGTTTGAAAGATTACTGGTGGCCCGGAGGCCTTTCCAGTTTTACTAGGACAGGCGGGTGAGCAAAGGCTCAGCCAGGAGGGGTGGGATTTGCTAACAGCTGCCCGAGCGCCTCCGAAGGAGACAGACCTAACAACTCAAGAGCAATGCTAGTAAGGTGTGTAACATCCGGAGTAATAGGAGTATTTTTTTCAGGCAGACGCCACAACGTGAATCCCGTCATCCGCCTCGAGAGTTGAAATTGAAGTTTGAGTTGAATTGTAGAACAGCTGTCCGTTGTTTCACTATTCAAACCAGAACGAACGCATGCGATAGAAATAAATATTTTCGATTTTTAATATACGATTTTATTTCGTGGAAGTATTTCAGAAAAAAAAGATTTTAAATGTAAAACGTTTACAATACTGAATGCAGCTGTATCATAGTGTATGAAATATAGATAGAATTAGAAATTATACTCAACTGCTCTAGTTTTTTGTTTTTAGAAATTATATTATGAGAATGATTTACTGCAATGTAACTCAAAATGCTTCCACCTCACGTCTCAATATAAATGGCAGGACTTTTCATCGGTTTTTATTTAACACTAGCTGACCCGGCAGACTTCGTAGTGCCTCGGTCGATAAATAAAAGACCTAAGCTTTTGTATAAAATAAACTTAAAACAAACAAAAGGAATCCGTCCGACGGGGGACCATCAAAAGAAAAACAAAATTGTTATTTTTATTTCATTCTGAACATTTTCATTCATTTATCTACCTTTTTAACCTTCTCTGGAATTCCAAAAATAATTCAAGACCAAAATTAGCCAAATCGGTCCAGCCGTTCTCGAGTTTTAGTGAGACGAACGAACAGCAATTCATTTTTATATACATATATAGAATAACTAAGTTCGTTCTGCATATTTTCAAGGACATGTATAGAATATGTGATTTGACTTTAGCTATTTCACATATTCCTACAAGCATCGCGATTAAAAGTTGAATTGAAAATGTCTCCCCAAATGCGTTTAGGGAGGTCAACCATTGCATGATGTCCGAAATCGCAAGGGGTTCGATCGGCTCGCCCCGGCCACCCCGGGGGCAAATATAAAAACCATTCATATGGACAAAATAAAATTGCATCCCAAATAACTCGGTGCTCATCGGCCAAAATCTATTAGCAATAAATATCAAGTTTTCCGATTTCACAGGATTTAAAACGGCGTTCGAGCGGGAAAGTCAATACTATAAAAAGCGGGAGTTCTTATGAGCTTTCTGCTTTATGGCATTAAGTTTTATTGGATTTAAAATTAATTGTAAAGAAGAATCGTCTGTTTATCTAGCTTTACTGGTGGTAGGACCTCTTTTGAGTGCGCGCGGGTAGGTACCACCACCCTGCCTATTTCTGCCGTGAAGCAGTAATGCGTTTCGGCTTGAAGGGAGGGGCGGCTGTTGTAACTATACTTGAGCCCTTAGAACTTATATTTCAAGGTGGGTGGCGCATTTACTTTGTAGATGTCTATGGGCTCCAGTAACCACTTAACACCAAGGGGGGTTGTGAGCTCGTCCACCCATCTAAACAATAAATAAATAAATAAATGTAAATGTGTAAGTGAAAATCATACACCCTGAGTATATTTTTCTACGAATAGGAAAAGGTTCACTCAAAGTAATGATTATACATTTGTTGTTTTCATATTAGCAGCTAGGTAAAAGAAGTTTAATACACTGAGTTTCCCGCCGGATCTTCTCACTGAGTCACGATTCCGATCATGTAGTAGATTTATCTGCTGCTCTTGCTAGGGCCAATGTTAGCAATTCTCTTAGCTCGAGCCCGTGAGCTCACCTACCTGTCCGCGCGAAATTCGAAGGCCCCCTTAGGCTACGAAAGATTCGGAAAGGGGGAAAAAAAGGGGTTCACGCTTTAACTGATTTTGAGTTGTTAACGGAGTCTAAAGATATCATACCTGAATATCTTAATACATAACATTATATTAAGTCTTAAGACAAAAAGTATGGATTTCATTGTTAAAGCTGTCTGGAACACGTAAGGCAGAAGAATAAAGCCGAGTAGTTCTTTGAGTATTACGTCAGCGTAATTTGATCGGTGTTGATAGGAGGTATTGTAAGCCCGCTCGGGTAGGTATCACGATCCTGGTTATTTCTGCTATGAGACAATCATACGGTTTGAAGGGTGTGACTATTGTTATATTGATTGAAACTTCGTGTTTCAAGCTGAATTATGGCGTTCAAGTTGCGATGTCTTTGGGTTTCGGTTGTAACTTAATATCAATATAATATCGGTAGTCGTCGTGGCCTAAAGGATAAGACGTCCGGTGCATTCGTATGTAGCGATGTAACAGTGTTCGAATCCCGCAGGCGGGTACCAATTTTTCTAATGAAATACGTACTCAATAAATGTTCACGATTGACTTCCACGGTGAAGGAATAACATCGTGTAAAAATCGAACCCGCAAAATTATAATTTGCGTAATTACTGGTGGTAGAATCTCTTGTGAGTCGGCACGGGTAGGTACCACCACCCCGCTTATTTCTGCCGTGAAGCAGTAATGCGTTTCGGCTTGAAGGGTGGTGCAGCTGTTGTAGCTATACTTGAGACCTTAGAACTTATATCTCAAGGTGGGTGGCGCATTAACGTTGTAGATGTCTATGGGCTCCAGTAACACCAGGTGGGCTGTGAGCTCATCCATCCATCTAAACAATAAAAAAAAATACCAGTGGGCTATGAACTCTTTTACCATGGGCTTTCATAGTACGCCAAAAGATTACTAAGATAGCATATTCGACATTTAATAATCTATTATTATATCTGTTCATTACATACTATGATTTTTTTTGCACCTCAAAAGCCGGTCCGTTCACATTGACGGATTCAGTGGTGCACTAGTTACCCTCAGACGCAGCCCACTGAGTTTCTCGCCGGATCTTCTCAGTGGCTCGCGTTTCCGATCCGGTGGTAGATTCTGCGAAGCACGGCTCTTGCTAGGGTTCGTGTTAGCAACGTCGTCAGGTTTGAACCCCGTGAGCTTACCTACTAGTTAAGGTTATGCTGATATAGCCTTTCAAGGCTCTCAGTTTAGGTAGGGAAAAAAAAGCACTAGTTAGCGCCTTTGTCAGTTTGACAGTCCAGAGGGCTGTGGGTTCGATTCACACATCTGGTAGGCTTTTGTGTTGTTGTTGTGAATAAAAATGTATGTTTGCTTTCTGTCTGGATATTGAAAATCTATACAGATATGTATTTTTTTAAACGTAAATGATTATATATTCTGTTTCTTACAGTTCAGGGAATCCTAGTGTGGGGCCAGATAACCCTGTATGATATATGCCTAATTATTAATATTTTATTTGGCAATAAAATACATCTAATTATTTCAACTTTCGAAGTGTAATCTTTTAAATTACAATTTTTAAATGCATTTCTTATGAAATCTTATATTGAGAAGATTGCATTGATATTAATAATATCAAATACATCACTGAATGCAATTGCAATTTGATATCATGTTGGAATCGAACCGAAAAAATCGTAGTTATTCACCCGACTTAAGTCTCTTGAGATTTCCATTTTCTCTTTTCAAATTTTCTATTCACCTAAGCCACATATTTAATTAATCAATTTCAAACTATTTTTTCCTTTTATCGTAATGCGGTTAGACCTAGCCTTCTTTTCGCAATTCATTTTCAGTTCAGTCCTTTGAATTTAAATAGAAGATTTGAATTTGAATTTTGAAATTTTATTTTCGTTTCCTCTTGTATAGTTAAATGGGTACTAGGAAATGACAAATCGAAAATTATTAATTGAAATACGTGAAAAACGTACGTTAATAAAACACATATCGATGGTTTTCTCTTTTAATCATGATATTTTCATCTACAATACAAGGCACACACACAATTTTAAGTAAAATTAATAATAATTAAATAATAAAATAATAATAATAAATGATAAAACATGCTCAGTATAAAGTATTCATTGATATGATATAGGTACATTGAGAAGCCTCGAATCTAAAATAATCTATGAACGACTAAATCGACAATACTATACAATACGTGTGCCATTAAACTATATTACGTTGTAATACTGTTCCAAAGACAGTTTTTTTTTTAAATATAATTTTCGTGTTTAAAAAGATAAAGAACCGATACATGAGTACAACATTNACAAAGAGTTCGCCGTGCAACCTAACCCATGAATCAGCTCGCTGAGTTTCTCGCCGGATCTTCTCAGCGGGTCGCGATTCCGATCCGGTAGTAGATTCATTCGCGAAGCAGCTACTCTTGAGCTGTTAGGTCTCCTTCGGAGGCGCTCGGGTAGCTGTTAGCAAATCCCACCCCTCCTGGCTGAGCCTTTGCTCGCCCACCCCTGTCCTGGTGAAACTGGAAAGGCCTCCGGGCCACCAGTAATCCTTCAATCATAAAAAAAAAAAAACTATGCTCTGTGTTGTAAAATATGAATCAGAATTTGCTGTGTGATGTCGGCATTTGCACCGTTGAATAGTCAAGCGTCGATATCTCGACCATTCCAACCACGTCTTAATCGAAACATTAAGACATCGTCTTCTCACGTAACTATGCGATATAAATAACGCTATCATTTTTTTATATATATATATAATGTTAAAATTACGAATCTTAGAATGTAACAAACTACTCATTTACATTGATTCTGCATTACGGATATGGGAAATTTAAATTAAAGTTATATGTATTTATACACCATCTAATTTAAGTTGTAAACGAAACCTATTTTATATTGTACGCACGAAATGTCTCTCAGTATTCAGTCAAATAAGTATCGTAAAATGTATCATTTTAAAATCACTAACTTAAATCCTAAAGTTTCGTGGATAAGAGTTTTAAAACATTCCTAATTTCAGTAAAACTAATCATTGCACTAATATTGAATAAATAACACGCAGCAGAAGACCGTGATTCGATCTAATTTATGTATATTATCATTGCGTTTTGTACCTACCAATGAGGAAACAATTTTTTTTTTTTTAAATAAAAACAATAATTCTAGGAACCAGGTATTTGGTATAGAGACACCTATTGTGTGTTTCTATTTTTGAAAAGAAAAAAAAAACTTCAAAAACAGTCTTAGGTCAATTCCAATTATTGCTTTTTGAAATCACTAAAATTGATTTTAAACGCGTAATAAAGAGAAACTCGCAAAATTACTTTACTTAACAAAAATAATAACTTAACCGATAAATATGGCATAAAATTAGTACGAAGGTACCTCCTCAGGAAGGATTTAAAAATATTGACGAATGAATACTAGAATCGTCTATAAAAACCGCATTGACTTATAGCTAGTAAAGAGAGATATTTACAAATTTTACTATGGAAGAAAAACGTTCGAGATTTCGTTCGAAACTATTATCTCGTATTACTATTTCGTTACTATATTTACAAATTAATCTCAATAATGCAAAAGTACCTACACAACTTATTTACCAAAGTCCGTGAATTCTTAAATAATACTTTAAAACCGAGTCGAACGATCAATAGTCCTATCGCTTCTAATTCTAGAAGGCTCTCGAAGAAATCGTTCGCGATATGGCGTCTCACGATTACTTTTAAACCAACGGAATCTTTGGGCTTATTTTTCTCTGAATTCAGGTTTGACGCTGATCATCGGTTTCCTTGATTCTTCTGCGTCTTTATTATAGTCTTGATTGTTGGGGTAATGTACAGCCCCCGGGTTTGTCAGCTAAGTGGCCGAACTGAACAACACTGAGTTCTTGTAATAGCCGGCGCGGTCTGACAAAGGACTTTTCACATCACGTTCCATCGCCTGTTGTCGAGATTTGCGTTCCATTTCCAGCTCCTGCGCCAAGGACTCTGTTGAGTAAGAACAAATCGTTACGATATGTGAAAGAGGGAAGACTTAGCATAAAATTAATTTTAACATATCCGCCTAACTAAGTAATCTACCTTAAATATTTTTAGCAGGTTTTTTTGATTTTTTTTTAAATAATATACTTAAATTACAGCATTATTATTCATTAAAATCAACATAGGCATACAAAAAGCTTAATATAAATGTCACATGTACTACAAAGGAAAATGTGATTAGAACTTCGGAAAAGTGATCACACATCAAACGAATTTCACATTCATGCGACACGTTTTAATTTAATATTCGACGTTGCCCCGGTAAAAACGTACCACTCTCGATATTCCGTTATTAAATTGTGCCCGAAAGGGTTGTTCTCTCAGCGCTGTCTCTAAATTGATTGCAAATGCGCTGTTAGGTAACTAGTAGGTGACTTATTGTGTTTAGTCCAAGCAAAATAAAGTTTAAATCGTAAACAATTTCACTTTTCCTCGTAGATTAAAGACAGTATTTTGAATAATTCTCAACAGGTTTCGAAGATACGCGAATTTCTAATAAGATTTTGAGTAAATTGACAAAGTTCGTGAAGAGCCCGGAGTAGGTGAGGTAAGGCAATTGTCTCTGAAAACGACGACGTTTTACGAAATATGCTTATTCAATTTCATGCAACGCTTGCCGCCTCCTGCAATTTACGAGATATAAAAGATATAAACGGAATCGCGTTTTTTGCTTACTTTGATGGAACATTTTCTCAACAGGGAATTCAATTTCTGTTCCCGGTATTCGAGTACAATTTATGCTTTGAAATTCTTAATTTATTACATTGCTCATTTCACGTTCAGCGCTTCGTAGCCAAACACATAAAATAATAGTTCTGTTTATTTTAAATAAACGAATTGCATCTTTGAAAACAACGGTAAGCAATAAAAACTCAATTATAATCCGATTTGTTTGAGTGGAGTCTTGCTCTAGGGCATCACACTCACAAGTGTCGCCATCGAGGGATGTCCCGAAACAGAAACCTATTATCTCGGGCGAGATTATACGCCTAGGGCGTCACAATTAAATATTATACACTTAAAAGCTTCGGCCTTTGCCGTTTCACTTCGCTGCCACCCCTAAATGTCCCATTAGATCTGTTTGAATACGTAATATTTTTGCATTTGCTGTTCCTAAAGAGAATTGCCGGTTCCTTTGAGAGCTATAATCTATTTGTTTTTGAAACGACCGTAATGGTTGAGTGCTCGATGTAATGAAACGCTATCTGATGCTTTGCTCTTAGTGTTTTTTGCAGGATGACACGAACACTGCATGACAATAACATTAACTTTCACAGTATCGATTGATGCACAAAAACATTTGAAAGATCTGCTTCGATTTCATTTCGTTTCGATCAAATGGACAAGGAATGATAAAAAAGGACTTGACAAGATGGACGTGATCTGATTTATTTGTAACTAGCTGACCCGGTAGACTTCGTAATGCCTCAATCGATAAATAAAAGACCTAAACTTTTGTATAAAATAAACTTAAAACAAACAAAAGGAATCCGTCCGATGGGGGACACATGAAAGGAAAAACAAAATTGTTATTTGTTATTTAATTCCGAGAATTTTTATATTTATCTACATTTTAAACCTTGTCTGGACTTCCACAAATAATTCAAGACCAAAATTAGCCAAATCGGTCCAGCCGTTCTCGAGTTTTAGCGTGACTAACAAACAGCAATTCATTTTTTATATATAGATAATAATAGGAATAAGCCGACAGTGCTCTTGAAATGACAGTCTGAATGAAACTACTTTTTGTACGGATGCATATCAGTAAAAAGCAGTGCACTTTATTTGTGTCTGCTGACTAATTAACAATAGAAAATTGGACTTTGAACGATGTATTTTTTGCTGTCTCAATATATATATTTATTGCTTAGATGGGTGGACGAGCTCACAGCCCACCTGGTGTTAAGTGGTTACTGGAAACCATAGACATCTTCAACGTAAATGCGCCACCCACCTCGAGATATAAGTTCTAAGGTCTCAGGTATAGTTACAACGGCTACCGACCCCACCCTTCGAAACGAAACGCATTACTGCTTCACGGCGGAAATAGGCGGGGTGGTGGTACCTACCCGTGCGGACTCACAAGAGGTCCACCAGTGATTACGCATATTATAATTTTGCGGGTTTGATTTTTATTACACGATGTAATTCCTTCACCGTGGAAGTCAATCGTGAACATTTGTTGAGTACGTATTTCATTAGAAAAATTGGTACCCGCCTGAGATTCGAACACCGTTGGATCGCTCAATACGAATGCACCGGACGTCTTATCCGTTAGGCCACGACCACTTCAACTGACTAATTAACAGTAGAAAATTGGACTTTCAACAAAGTATTTTTTGCATTTTAATATAGTAATATAATAGTCATCTATCTTATTAAAAACCAGTTAGAAAAATCGTTTGTTCATTTGATTATATTCCCGTATTAATTTCTTAGCTGTAAAGTACTATGAAATTCAATACACCTGAAAGAATAATAGAAAGTGGAAAAGCTCATTATTTTTAACGATTAAAACGTTATCGACACCTCTGTCCATCTTTAAAAGAAATTAATTATCGCTGTGGGTACTCATAAAAAAGTGAGGTGATTAATACTTCGGTAGATAATTCGAGAAGGTTTAGAGAAGAACAAAGGGGCTGTACTAGCAGACGATTTTATTGTTTACAAGACTAATAAAAACAATTCGATCTTCATACAATTGAAACAGACGTCTAACTACCGTTGCCGTACTGACTCTATCGTACCGCGTCGAATCATACTGATTGGATTTATTTTCCATTACAAGTATTCTCTTGGCTTCCAAAGAACGCTCTTATTAACTTTTTTATTGTGGTCGAAAGCAGACGAGTTTATGGCATCTCATGGTAAATGCACGCTTGCACTCCAGAAATACCGATGAAGGTAATTTATCAGCCGGGTGGTAGATAGCATAATTAATATCTTGTGATTGTGGCACTGCACGTTTGTAGCGGTTCTGAGGGAGGCTTGAAAATTTTTTTTTTTATTGCTTAGGTGAGTGGACGAGCTCACAGCCCACCTGGTGTTAAGTGGTTACTGGAGCCCATAGACATCTACAACGTAAATGCGCCACCCACCTTGAGATATAAGTTCTAAGGTCTCAATTATAGTTACAACGGCTACCGACCCCACCCTTCGAACCGAAACGCATTACTGCTTCACGGCGGAAATAGGCGGGGTGGTGGTACACACCCGTGCGGACTCACAAGAGGTCCTACCACCAGTAATATTATGTATACATTAATAGGACGAGATAGCGAATACTAATTGGCTTTGAACGGCATTTACACAATTAGTCGGCTACAAAACGTACAAAATAAAGCACAATATATTCTAGAATAACGTTATTAACAGATCTAGTAGAACACATGATTATTTTTATGTTGTTATTATTCAGTTAAAATGGAGTTTGCGATACTGCGTTCCATAATATATTATATTATTAAATCTTTATTTCAGTAAAGAAACTATACATATTTTTAGTAAGTATTACTTGTAATCTATGTTAGTAAAACCTAACACATTACTATGTTATTATTTACTATTTTTGAGTCTTTTAGAAACAATAGACTTTTTAATTGGATTATGTGCACTGACGACTTCGCGTTGAATTCACTATCGGGTGAGTGGTCTCTGAAACCATAGACACTACCGTGCTAATGAGCTGTGAGGTCGATGTCTCAATGACAGCAATACCTCCATAGAGTGTATAATATCGCGAGAGCAGGTTTTTGCTGATCCGTGCATACTTATATATAATATGCATCAAACAGTTATGTAGCTGAGTTACTAAGTTCATTGCCTCAGAACGAATGGAGCATTGGGAATAAAAATTAACAAACATATTATGTATAAGAGTAAAGAAAAAACACAGACCAAAATTCTGTGATATAAAAAAAGAAAAAGGGTACCTTTTGTATTATAATCATTACGATCAGCAGTATAAAATAAAAGCAAAAATAATGATCGCAATTAATAAATAATTTAACTCTTCTGTTTCATATAGACAGTTATGTTATTTAATTCTGAATTATTACAGTTTTTTTTTTAAAATTAAACGTTACATTAATTATGATAGAATACAAATAAATTTACTATGATTATTTTAATTATACACGAAACTCAATTACCTGGCCGTATTGGAAGCATAAAGGAAAACTTAATATCGTCAAAAGGTTTGGAGCGCACCTGTGCGGTACAATTTTATTTCCATTCATTTTACAAGCTCACCTAAAAAGTAACCCGGAGAAGTTTCATCTTTATTAATTTTTCAACTTTATATTACTAAGCATCGGCCGGTTTCAGTTTGTTCTTTTAATACGAGAGACGATACATTTTCTAATAAATGGATCTGGAGATGTTTTTTTTATTTTTTATTGCTTAGATGGGTGGACGAGCTCACAGCCCACCTGGTGTTAAGTAGTTATTGAAGCCCATAGTAATCTACAACATAAATTCGCCACCCACCTAGATATATAAGTTCTAAGGTCTCAAAAATAGATACAACGGCTGCCCCACCCTTCGAACCGAAACGCATAACTGCTTCACGGCAAAAATAGGCAGGGTGGTGGTACCTACCTACCCGTGCGGACTCACCAAAGGCCCTACCACCAGTAATAAGTTATTTAGTTTCTTTTGTATTGTGCAATCTCGTGGAGTGTGGGTTGGTGTTCTGTAATTTTTTAAATGATAACTGACCGTATTCTTTTATTGCAGTAGACGGGTCGAGTTCACAGGCCACCTGGTCTCGAACAGATCTCGGAATCCATAGACACCACTTGATTGCCATTGCTTACCTTGAGACATAAGAATGAAGTCTCAATTGCAGAATGCATTGCATGGCCGCAGAAATAAAGTAATAATAGGGTTGGGAGATAGAGATTTAGGTAGTCTCTTTATGAATAGACAAGACAACAATTGTTAAGTATAATTTTTTCTTGCATTCGCTAGCTGATTTTCTTATATTCTTCAAAAGTTTTAGCTTAATTAATTAAATAGCTGTACTGATAAACAATACGTCATAGTTTGTTTCCTTCAAAATGTCGGTAGTAAAACAGAAGAGAAAATGTTCCAATGAATCTCAATCTTGAGGTATCTGTGATTATGGTCGAATTTGGGTCATTGGGCGAACGCTAGTATAGGAAAATAAGTGAGGGTACTATGGGAGAGGGTATGGTATATTGGTAATGTTTATCTATTGACCTTTTTAGATTAAATAACTAAAAATAAGTATTTTCACACTCTGAAATAAATACACAAGTGATAAATAATGGGTTGATTTTTGAAATACTTGACTTTACAGCAATTGTGCTTAAACATAGCTTTCTCCTGAGACTTCTTCGCATTAATATTAAGATGATTCCAGCTCGATGTGGCTATTACAACTGATCTCGTTTCTTACAAAGAAACCGTGGAAAAAAGTTTTCTAATTTAGGAATAATAAAATATGTTTTTTCTTTTACCCACGGTACAGAGGAAAGTTGATGAAAGGCTCCAAGTTTTAATTTTTGTTTTTCTGTTGGCTACCGTTATTATTTACAGCCAGCCCTCTTATATTTTGACTTGTTCCTGATTTAAAACTCAAACAGAGTTTAATCCAAACGACAAAATGTTATAAAAAATCTAATTAAAATTAATTCAAATAGAGTGTATTAAGGTGACAACGTTTAAACAAAACCGTTTTCCTTTGTCCTTTGCCTGTAAAGTATATTGTTGCTTGTTTTTGGTTGTTTTTATGCTTACCACCTACTACCAGTACTACGGCGAGCTATTCTGGCTTCACTGAATGTGTCGGCGAGAACTCACACGGCTTATTTCGATATATTTTACTACCATCTGCCCTAGCAAGAGCAGTGGTTCGCTGAATTTACCACTGGATCGGAATCGCGACCCACTGGGAATATCCAGCGAGAAACTCTGCTGGTTGTGCGACTGTATATTGTCCGGTCGTCTGGATCGAGCATGTAATTAGAGTTAGAGTAAAGAGAGAGTTTTATCATGTCGCGCCGCTTTTTCGAAGAAGCGTTCCGACGCTGTCTTCAGAGTATCTTCGTAGTTAAACGGGCAAATGGGAAAATTGTGAAGAGTCGCCGTCGCTCATGGATCACGTAATATCATAGGTGACGTGAAGCCCCTGCTTACGCTGAGAACACCTCTTAAACCTAACCCGAAGAAAATGTTTGTCATAGCGATTAGGAACGACATCAAAGAGTCGCAGCGAGAAAAAACAACTTTAGATCAATGTAGCGGCTTCAGGTAACAAGAAAAATCGGTAGCGGATAGGGCGACGATATATTATAGACTATTCGAATATCTCAATTCTTTTGCGATATGGAACCTCATGGAACATACGGAACAAAACATGGACCGTATGTATCAAGTCACTCTGTAGACAGACCTCTGTAAAGGCTCAATACCAGGTGGTAGGACCACCACCCCGCCTATTTCTTCCATGAAGCAGTAATGCGTTTCGGTTTGAAGGGTGGGGCAGCCATTGTAATTATACTGAGACCTGAGAACCCATGTCGCAGGGTGGGTGGCGGCATTTGCGTTGTAAATGTCTATAGGCTCCAGTAACCACTTAACAGCAGATAGGCTGTGAGCTCGTCCACTTATCTAAGCAATAAAAAATAAAAGAAAATAAAAAAAGCTTGCCATGTCTCTCTATCTACGATTGTAATAGCGCTTAGCACATAAGACAACCCAACAATTCCAGTGACTTGAGCTTTTAATTGAACTTATTTGGCAAAGTTTGATGCCATTTATATTTAATTATAAAAATATGACCAACCAACCAACCAAATAACTGAGATTACAAGCAATTAAGGTTAATATTTAATATGGGTGTGTAAGCGATGACATTGCATGGTTTAATAGGTTGTATTATAATGAAAGCTAGTGGTCCCGCAGTAGTCGAAATTCGACTATAATTAATTGGAATTGTAAGTTTGTACACTATTATGATTGTATTTCGCCAAAACTACACTATAAAAATATTAACAAAGACAAACAATATTTAATCTCAATTTGACAACAGACGTCAAGAACAAAAGTTTGACAATAAATAGTAGGTATGCATGCGTGTGTGCATCAAATACATGGTATGTAGTGTGTGTAATTTTTTCTTTATTGATTTAATGTATCTTTTATGCATTATTTTAAAAAAATAATAGCATTGTGCACTTCTTCTCTATATTCACTACAAGCGTGAAAAATTTCATACTCCTCCGTCCGCGAAATTTTCGTAAAAAGGGATACAAAGTTTTTACTTCACGTATTAATATATAGATGTTATAATAATGTTTCAAATCTACTCGTATAGTTGCGTGTTCGCGTGATTTAAGATCCTTGGGGTAGAGTTACGCTTAAATTAGTTGCAATTTCAACTTGAAAAGCAGACTGACAGCAAAAAGCATTTGCTAGCAAAACGCAGTAAATGATTAAATCTATATCAACGTTTTGTTACTAGTCCGTTGTTTTTCTAGTTGCGTTTTCAAACCCTTTTAAGTTGTTCTTTGTGTGATTTGAAAGCTATGTATTTCAAGTTGCTCTTTTAACTTTTTATCAGATTTAGAATTGCCAAGAAATTAACTAATCTATTGTCATCAAATTACATAAGTATGTTTGGCGGTAGGCAGCGGCTTGGCTCTGCCCCTGGCATTGCTGAAGTCCATGGGCGATGGTAACCACTCACCATCAGGTGGGCCGTACGCTCGTCTGCCTACAAGTGCAATAAAAATATATATATTAATTAGGAACATATTATTATGTAGTTAATTTTGTGATCTTTAATTGATGATAATGAAACAGTGGATAATATTAAATTACATAAAATATAAAATTAATTGATTAATTAAATTTTGATTGATTAAAATGAATTTAAATTTAGTTAACTTTAGGTAATAATTTTTTTACTGATGGTAGAACCTCTTGTTGAGTCCGCACCCGTAGTACCACCAACCTGCCTATTTCTGACGTGAAGCAGTAGTGCGTTTCGGTTTGAAGGTTGGAGCATCCGTTGTAGCTATCTCAAGGTCGATGTTGAAATTTATGTTGTAGATGTCTATGGGCTCCGGTAACCACTTTAGACTAGGTGGACTGTGAGCTCGTTCACACATCGTTGAGCTCGTCCACACATCTTTGCAAAAAAAAATACAAACAAAGGTATTAAAAAGATATAATTCAAACTTATTTTACGATTTAATCTCGCGGTTTTTTATTGTCCAAATTATTCTCGACGTTTCGAACAGTTCACAATTTCGTGGCTACACAGAAATGAAACGTAAATGCGTAGAATTATTTTTTTTGAAAAATTGATGGTATTCATCACATTATTAAAGAGTTTTGGTCGTCCTAAATCATGTATCTATTCGCATCTTTAAAGAATAACCTATATCAGTAAGTATATCCCTAAAAATTATGTTCAATATTGCACAAAAATAATACTTGAAAATATTTCATTAAAATTGTGCAAGCATTAGGTACAAAAATAAGTTTTTATTTTCACAATAGTTTATATTAGTTTGGAATTATTCAAATAAGATGAAGGTCTAAAGTACATATTTGAAATTCCCAATGCGAAAGCTATGCGTTATTATGAGTATAAATTTCATTACGCCGCATTTTTTGGTCTTTTCTTCGTCTCCCTCTTCACATTAAATGAAAACCTTTAGCAAAAACATATGAACTTTTAGCAAAAAGAATTCAATAGAATACCATTATGATTTTTTTGTACGCATTTTTATATTAATCTAGGACTTGCTGTATTAGGAGATATCTATAAGAAGTGCACGCCTTGGCTACAAGTGCATTTATTGTAGACAATGTGGATAGATAAAACTAGATAGATTTTATTGAGTTTCGACTATGGATATATTTGGTTTTCATTTAAATGAAATCGGAATTTATCAATTATGTATATAGAAGTATTAATGCGTGAAGCAAAAACTTTGTACCCCTTTTGAGATTATAGAGAAGGAGTGCAGAAGCTATTTTTTTTAAATTTTGTATTAAAAATACATTAAATCAATAAATAAAACATTACGCACACACTACCATGTATTTGATACACACACACACATATATAGTAACTCTTTGCTTATTGTCGAACTTTTGTTATTGCTTAGTCTGTGGTCAAATTGAGAATAGGTTAGTATTGTTTATCTTTAATATTATTAAAATTTGTCTACTTATATAATGTAGTCTTGGCGAAATCGGTGATTAAAGAAGTAAAGAAGTAATTCTTTGTCAATATAACCATAATAATGTTCAAACTTAAAATTTCAAATAATTATAGTCGAATTTCGACTACTGCGCTAGTTATTTATTATTTTAAAACGACAAACATAACTAATGTTGTTTCAAACGTACCAGAGTAATTTTGCCAGAATGCAGCTCCACCACTCATGATGTCGACGGGAGGGGGAGGATAGTTCCATTGCGGCTTGTCAGGTGTGCGAGGGGGGTCGCGCTGGAACGGCGGTGACGTCGAGGGGGGCTCCGTGCTAGGTGGCTTGCTCTCGGATCCGTTCTCACGCTCGTGACGACCCTGCTCCTGCCCGGCTGGCGATAGGTTCTCTGTTACACAGAAAACAAAATTCACACTTGTACTCAAACTCAGGTCGGACAAATTTAGAAACACCCTAAAAAAAATGTGTGTGTGTGCAAGTCACACACGGTAGAAGTGAAACGTAAAATATAAGAATAATCGCAAGAGTCAACTACCAACCACTCCACAGTGCAATGGAGCAGCCTCACCCTGGGGGAACCGCCTGCATGATCACGGTATCTCTACGCCAGGTAAGTATGATTTAGCAAGAGAAATACGAGAATGTCTATCAACTGTGTAACAACTCGTCGTCGCGATTCAGGAATTGTTGAATTTACGTGCAGCGACATCTGTTGATAACACACTAAATAAAAATAATTGTAAATCATCTTTTATAGTGTGAGGTAGCGCCCTCTGTGAATTGATATTTTAACTACACGTTTCATTTTTTCGTTTCATCGAGTTTGAAATCATGCCCAACGATTCTAAAGAAGCTTGAGTTCAAAAAGGTAAGTCTAAATAATAGTGCTTATAATAAAAATGAGATTTTCCACATCAATCAATGGCAAACAACAATTATGTAAGAAAATAGAGTGGAATGCGTGTTAGTACAGTAGTGAACCCTCGTTTCAAATGGTCTGCAAAACGATTTCCTGACACGGAGATTAGTACAAGCCTTCACCGACGTTCACCCTTCTTACGTCACGCACTCCACATAAACTTAACTACCGATAAGTAACAAATTTCACGAAACATGCCAGAAACAATCTTAAGTAATTCAATTAAAGTCGACTTTTAGATGTGCAATAGGTAGAATAGGTCGTGCATAGATAGTTTGACAGACCGTAAGCTAACATGTCAAGAGCATAAATTGGCACTCCAACTTAAAACTTGTTGAATGGTTTAGAACAGTTGTTATTGACGTAATGATATTCTTGGTGTACTGTTGGACACATTCTAAGTTTGACGTGATTTGAAATTAAAGTCGATGAATTTCATGTTAATATTATGTTACTTGCTGTTAATCGTGAATACTAATAATGCATTCGGAACGTAGACATTTAGGAGAAAATATAATATTTTCAAGCGTTAAAAGTAATTGTAATTCGTATTTATTGGTGGTAGGACCTCTTGTGAGTCCGCACGGGTAGGTACCACCGCCCTGCCTATTTCTGCCGTGAAGCAGTAATGCGTTTCGGTTTGAAGGGTAGGGCAGCCATTGTAACTATACTGAGATCTTAGAACTTATATCTCAAGGTGGGTGGCGCATTTACGTTGTAGATGTCTATGGGCTCCAGTACCCACTTGACACCAGGTGGGCTGTGAGCTCGTCCACCCATCTAAGTAATAGAAAAAAAAAAATACAATTCGCGATAACATTTGAAATATTAAGATCCTTTTAGATATCAACATACCAGTCACGATTCTGAGGATTTCCTGCGGCGCTCCTGATTGCTTCAAAGCCTCCTCTATCTTCTGTCGTCTTTTCAGTTCAATGTCTAGTTGTTCTTGTACCACTTGCCTCTGCTTCCTTTCTTTCTTTAGCCGCTTCTGGTAGATTACTAAACAAGAAAATAATTATAAATTAAATCGAATTCCGAAAAATCATTTTCCATTTTTAAATGAATATAATATATCGAATGTTCGGTCGGCAAATAAAAACTCTAAAAAAGAATCTGGCTATTATAAACATTCGCTAAAAAATACAGGATGTATAACATCTGTTCTAATATAATTGAACATTAATATTAATAGAAGACAGCGAAACACAGCTCAGTTGTACACAGTATTTGAAATAACAATTACTTTGTAAATCGCGCGCCGAGAGTAAAACAAAACATCGACTAAAAACAATGTTTTATGCTTCGATCAAGAAGTACTATTATTGATTGAAGGTTTTATGCGTTAATTTCATGATAAACTTGAATATACTCAAGAATAACTGTACTATATACAATAAATGTCATTTTTCAATACATTTTTAGTCGATAAATTGTACATTATCGTTCTGACTTCGTCCTCCTCAATGGCCGTACCATAATATTACATAACATTCAGTAAAGTCACGAAAGACCTTTGATTCGTTCACAATATGTTACAAGTGTATCATTAATGTGATTGAAGTAAATGATGGTAAACTCTCTAATACAAGTATAATGATAGTATGTGTATCTTGCTCATCTTCAGTTCGATTCGATTGAAGGATGATTGAGCTAGTTCGTATATTTGATAACATGTATAAACTTTTCGCTACATCACAAAAAAAACGAACTAAGATATCTTTAGTGATTTTATGAAGTATACATATTATAAAAGCAACGTTGGTCAAATTTGGCTTTGACTAACCCTAATTAATGTCTACTACATCAAACACCACTTGACCACCACCACCTGACAGAAATTCCAACGACAACTTTACAAATTATCAGTCCAATCGTATAAGCTTCGAAGGCTTATAATCGAATAAAAAAACAACGATTTTTAAATTAATTTCAATACCATACATAAAATTTAAATAATAAAAGTCTATAAAGTTCGTTAATTTTAAATGAAATCAATTGAAAATGTTATAACTTAGAAAATATATATTTTTTGCGTAACTAATTTTAATTTGGTATCAATATGTCAAGGAGGTTAAAGTTTTTTATTTAAACTCTTTTGTTTTTATCAATATTTGTATTCTTGTAAACATTTTAATGAAACTACGATGTCAGATGGAAGTTTACATGACCGTACATAATGGCTTTGTTAACAAAATTAGGTTGAAAAGGTCCTTTTTCAGTTAATTTCTCGTCAATACAAAGGTCCGCGTCCAAAGATCCGTTCAGTGGAAAATTGGTCGGACCAACGACTCCAAGTACCGATTTGGTTTAACACCTCTAAAAATTTGTTTTCACGCGACTGAAGCCTATTTTAGGGCCTTTTCATCTCTTGTTTTCCTGTGTACTAATTAACGCTGACACTTTATCAGATATTTTGGTTCAACAGGTATTCTTAATAAAATTAATTTAATTATTAATAACAAAAAAAACTGTAAACTATTTATTAAATTAGACATAAAAAATATTAAAGCTTCGAAATCTGAACGTCAATCAACGTCTTCCCACGTACGATCCGGCGGCATTGGCGCTGTCGGAGTTCATTGTTTCTACAAGTCAATATTTGTCTATGGATCGGCGGCTTTACTTTGTGCTTCATAATCCGAGCTATTGCCTCCTCACTGATAGCTCCGTCCCGAACAATGAGTCGTAATATTAACTTTTCAATCGATTATATCATTTGATTTTGTCTTAACAAAAAGTTTAAATATTTGACGTCGGCTGTACAGTGGTAAGTCTAATTAAAACTAGATTGAAACTGCTTACTAAGCAATAATCAAACCATCAATAGTCTTTGATAAGGTTCATGTCATTTTGAATTCGAACGTTGGCTCTCTCATATTTCCAATCATGTTCCGAAATTGGCGAATCGTTCGTGTAAGTACGTAGAGAACGCAACAAAGCGTGCGATATGAAGCGAAACAATTCGATGACCGAGCGTATGAATAAAAACGAAGCACCAAAATATTGAAGGAATCCGTTCAAAGGGGAAAAAATGCAATAAAAACCCGGCCCGAAACAGAGCGAGTGTGGTTAAAAAGCAACGAACGATATGGTTACGAACATCCGCTGCAGACAAAAGTTCGGCTACTTGACTATGCAAATTATATTTGCGGACCGCCGCGGCTGAGACTCGATCTCCGACGTTTCGTTTCACTTTTTCGTATATAACGTGTATTCTTTTCATATTTTCATCGGATTTCCTTCCCCTCGTTCATTTTGTTCCGTTTTAAAAAGTCGCGGAACAATGCCGCTCGCTTTCCGCGGGGCTTATTCGCCGCGAGCCGTTTTCTTGCACGCGGCTTCCTTTTTTGTTATTATACCTATCTTTTTATATCTATCGAGTTTTCTTTGCTTTAATACTTTTAACTCATAAATGGTTGATACGTTCCCCTTGGGTTTGATGCTCAAATAACATGTAAATGAGTCAGTGCGCCGAAACCCAATAAATTTGTATCTCTGTTATTTTGTTTTTAAAGTCAATTTAAGTATCTATTACAAAAGGATAGTCGAGTAATTTCGTATTTATGAAAATAAAAATACTTAATGGATACTATAACGAAATACGTGTGTTGAAGAAATAATTTAAATTAGCTAATAATAAGCTTTGTTATATCGGTTTTTGAATTACTGTCAATGATTGAGGGCAGGAAATCTCTGTCCTTTTCTTGTATTACAAGAGTTGGTACACAACTTTTATGGCATCCATGAAAATTTATACATTTTATTATGGAAGGCAGGCAGTGGTGCAGTTTACCATGAAGTTCTGCGCAGTCTGTTTAACTTAACAAGAAAAATTGCGCTGATTAGCTATTGCCTTGTTACTGTTAGTTAATTACGTAAGAATAAAATGAAACACAATCGCGTATATAGTACTACTGGTGGTAGGACCTATTGTGAGTCTACTGGTGGTAGGACCTATTGTGAGTCCGCGCGCGGGTAGGTACCACCGCCCTGCCTCTTTCTGCCGTGAAGCAGTAATGCGTTTCGGTTTGAAGGGTGGGGCAGCCGTTGTAACTATACTTGAGACCTTAGAACTTATACCTCAAAGTGGGTGGCGCATTTACGTCGTAGATGTCTATGGGCTCCAGTAACCACTTAACACCAGGTGGGATGTGAGCTCGTCCACCCATCTAGCAATAAAAAAAAGAAAAAATTACCTTTTTCATTTATTTCCTTACAGTAATTTTAAAATTTAATGACATTGTGTTAAAAGAGTTTGATCGACTTAAAATTTCATTAGCTACGTACATTTTACGCATGTTGGTCAATTAGAAAAAAAAATTAGTTCATTTTCCTGTATATCAAAAGATTTTCGTGCTAGTGCAATACGACTGTAAATAAAAATGACGTTTATGACGAAGTGTCCCCCTCCTATTCGCGCACTAACGATTTAGATAAGTCTTTTTATAGTTCTTTATTGAAAATAAATTGCCTAGAATAAAATCAGACACAGTTCAAATGGCTTTCCGATAGATGAGTATGAAATAATGTTCGGTAGATAAGATAAGACAGTTATCGGCGTATGTTCAGTGACGCCTCTCTGATCGTTGTTGAAAGAATGACTTGAGCTTTATGCAGTGACGAGGAATACAAACTTTGATGATGCGGGTCGTTTAGGGTAGGCATGTATAATAGTTTGGTGAGTTTTGTTAATGAAATATACATACGTAAGTGCAGTGTATATTGATTTACTAATCAAAAATCAAATCAAATCCGAACTTGAAGTTGAGATAAACATTAGTCAGTATTTAATTAAGACATTTTTTTTTTATAACCTCATATACTAGAAAGTATAAAGGCTGACTTAATGTCATAGGCATTCTCTAACAGTCTACCTTAGGGGAGTGCAGAGATGAATCTTGGTAGGTGTAGTGTGAAAGTGACGTTACTTAAACATATGTGTATATATAACATACATAATATTTATAGATACAAATACTCGTACTTAATACTTAATACATAATAATATGATTTAATTAAATAAAGCAGTATTATTTTAAAATAACGTACCTGTTCGCAAGGTACTCATCAATTATGAGAGCTATTAACCAAGTAATCCAGTATTACGAAGATTTATCGAAATGTTCACAACTGTGTTACGTTGTATAGTTTTATCTATTTCCACTGTTTTATTTCGGAGTGTTTATTTATGGGGCGGGTGTCATACACGATAAACGTTTTACCCCAAAAACGTGCGGGGATCTGTGTTCTTGTCAGCACACGCGCGATCATAACTTACGAGACCCGAAACATTTGCAGATAAAATGACAANATTACGAAGATTTATCGAAATGTTCACAACTGTGTTACGTTGTATAGTTTTATCTATTTCCACTGTTTTATTTCGGAGTGTTTATTTATGGGGCGGGTGTCATACACGATAAACGTTTTACCCCAAAAACGTGCGGGGATCTGTGTTCTTGTCAGCACACGCGCGATCATAACTTACGAGACCCGAAACATTTGCAGATAAAATGACAAAAAAAAAAAAAAAAACAAAGAAAATATTTTACTTAGCGATTGTTTTTGGATCGGTCGAATTTCTCAAATTTACGAAATATCAATAAAGGTGCACGTACAAAATTTTACGATATAAAGAAAAAGATGATTGCAAGCAGTTTTATCAAGACCGATCAAAGGGCCGGTCGGACATTCCGACTTCTTACGACGTTAGTAAAAAAATACAATCTCTCTTTATAGTTACCATTCCACTGGTTATTATATCCGTATCGATACGGCCGAACTTACGGACCGTGAAATTCTGAACTCTCGATATTGCAAGCCTCCGGCACTACTACGCGATTCAACTAAAATAAACAGTCTAAAGAATCATAAGAAAAATAAAATACGACAGACACCCTTTGAATTTTATATGAAATATATTTTTCCAACAAATCAGTCCATATTCCGTTAATTCAAACTCATTAATTTTATATTTAGATTTTAAAACTAATTTGACA